TTTAAGCCACCGGGTCCAGGACGCGAACCGCGGTTGACTACGTGGGTGTCCAGCGACATAGCCATTACACTAACTGCTGGTTCCTATATTTATTTATTTATTTTATTTGACCAGAGGGAGAGAGAGGGAAAGCAAGAAAGCAAGTCACCAGGTTCAGGACTCAAACCGTGGTTGTCCATGTGGGAATGTTCGGCACCCCAATCACTACACCCTCCACTGGCCCCACGCTTACATTAAGAGACATTGCAGGACCAGCAGCAGATGGCATGATGGCTACGTCACTAGACTCCCATGTAGTCAACTGCAATTTGAGTCCCGGAACTGGTGGCTTAAATTCACGCCAGGGCGTGTGTGTGTGCCCAAGATCCCGAGAGGAGAAGGGACTGTGGCATGACCATCCCCGGGGTGGGGGGGGTGATTTCTCACTTTCTGTCTCTCTGTCTCCGTCTTTCTGGCGAGCACACGTGCCCTATAGCAAAAGCCTCTCCAAAATAAAGAGAAAGAGACATTGCTATATCCTTTCTTTATTCAGGTTCATAGATTATTCCCTTTTCTGTCTGCCCTCCTTACATCTCAGAATCCCCTCTAAGATTCTGAATGCCAGCTTTGTTGTAAGATTGCTCCAACTGTGCCTTCCCCACATCTAAGCTTCAAAAAATATTCACCAAAATTAGTTCTGGCTGCAATTTGCAGTGACCCTCAGAGCTTCCAGAACACCCTAAACCTACTGCTTCTGGTCTCTTCAGAGGTTTCCATTTTCTCCTAAGCATCTGAACCTAAAATCCTCTCTTCCACCTAATCCCCCCACTGAACGCCTACATTGCCAGCTCTTAAAACCCAGTGAAGGGTCAGCAGGTGGTGTGATGGTTAAGGAGCTGGACACTCCCACATGGACAAGTACGGTTTGAGTCCCAGACCTGGTGGCTTGCTTTCTCACTTTCTCTCTCTCTCTCTCTCTCTCTGGTCAAAATAAAATAAATGAATAAATACAATTAAATAAATAATTTTAAAAAGTAAGGGGGACTCCTTAAATCTGCCATTCTACTATAAAATGTCCACACTGGTATAAAGGAAGACTTCCCTAGAATCTTGCCCATGCGAGATCGATCTCGTTGATCAGCATCTGTTAAATGTGCCCCCAAGATGACCCTGGATGTCCTAATTTCATCTCTGAATAAAATGCTCGCATCCTCCAAGGGAGCCAGCGCCAGAGGGGCTGGACTCAAAAATTCTTTCTAGAATAAAAAATGCACAGGCCTTGCTTCTCCACCAGTGGGCGCCATAGCCCATTAAGACCCTCTCCCATCCCCCATTTCCCTTTTCCCTCCATTTTCCGTTTTCCCGTTGCCTGGCAACGCAGCAATCAAGGACTTTGCTGTCACCTAGCAACCGTTTCCCTGGAACATAGAGCTGAGGTAGGAGGGGTGTTCTAATGAAATCTGTACAGGCCTCCATCTTAGGGAAATTGAGACGTCAGATCTCTCATCCCCCGGATTCTCCTTTCCTAAGACCCCGGCGCCCCGCAGTTACTTGGTCAACAGTCCCGCCAACCCGGTCTCCCTTCCGCACCAGGAGGCCTCGCCACGCCCCGACAACGTCAGCCCCGCCCTCATTTGGGTCAGGTAACCCAGCCCAAGGCCCCGCCCATTTCCGAGAGAGTAAGCCAGGCCCCGCCCACCTGCCTCCAGGAGACCACGCCTCCGTCCACTTCCCGCCCATGCGCTCCCCCGGCCTCGCCCACACTGTCCCTCCGCCACGCCCCTGTCGGCCAATGAATGAGGCCATTGGCCACACTGCCCCGCCCCCGACATCTTAGCTTTGCCCAATAAGGACCGCCCGGAGGGTTTAACCGCTTCGCCTCCGGGGCTACGGTCAAATACCCCCGGTCTTTTCCCCACTTTACCCCCACCCCCACTAGTTCTGCTCCGCCCTCCGCCACCCTCGCCCGGCCCTCAAGTCCGCCACGCAACTTCAGTCGTCGCCGGTTACCATGGCAACGGCGGCAGCAGCGCGGGGAGAAGGGGGAGGGACGGGGGTGGAGTGGGAGAATGAGATGCTCAGAGACAGTGAGATACTGGCAGAGATATCGGCACCGAGTAGGACGATGTGACAGCTATAAAGCAGTTTGCACAAAGCACAGGGCCTAACACACAGTAGGCATTCAATAAATGTTCCTTAAAATTACTGCGGCAGGAGTCTAAATATAGGCAAGGAAAGATGGAGGGCTCTCAGGCCGACCTGGGGAGCTCAACGACTGCAAAGCCTGAGCACTTCCTACCCCACCCAGCACTCCCTACCCCACCCAGCATTGTAGGGGGGCAGGAGCCATGTGCCCCCTGCTGGCTCCTCCTGAGCAACCCTCCGCTGCCCTGGATAGAGATAAACCACAACTCCCAACAGTCCTATGGGCAGCAGCCCTCTAACATTCAGGGATCTTGTGCCTCACGGCCTTATGGGAGTTGGAGTCCCCACCATCCCGAGACTGACAAGTTTCCAGGCCAAGGAATGTGACAACCCTGGGTCTCCGCTGCCTCTGCAAACCCCAAATGCATGATCCTCTCTGCAAGCCTCCTTCCTTCAGGGATGCTCAACCCTGAGCTCCATCGAAGAAAGAGAAATCCAAAGGGGTAAAGAATAAGCCTGCCCCCCCACACACCCAGAATAGATGCCAGTGCAAGCAGGTCCCTCACCCTCACTGGCACCCATGTGTTCACGTGTTGGAGGCCGAACCTACACATTCCAACGGGCTTTCTGTATACACCTGTGCATCAGGAACTACCAACAGAAAACCCAAGGCTAAGAGGTAGGCCTAAGGCCAGGAGACAAGAGGGTAGAAGATCAGACAGATATTAAAGGAAACTGAGGCACAAAAATCCACTGAAAGTACAGAGGATAGGAAAAGCAGCAGACTTGAGAATGCCCAGAGCTCACAGAATAGGAGATAAGCAAGTAGCACTGGTGAAGGAGGATTCTCGGCCCCCAGTCTCTCCCACCCATGTTCACACGTGCAAAACCCATGTGTACACACATGTGTGATTTTTGTGGCAAGGAACATGTGTGTCCTCAGCTCATTCCCATGAGAAGCTGTAGTTCCCACTAAATATAACCCCCTCCCCAGCCTGTGACTCACACGGACCCCGCCTCCCCCTACCCGCCCAAGCCTCCCTCCACACACCAGGCAACCAGCTTTCCAGTCCCAATGTCTTGAGCAAAAACCTGGGAATTCTGCATTCCTCCAGGAGCCTGCTTGTGCTCCCCATCCCAGATCTGTTCCTTTTAAGCTCCAACCATAGGGACACCCTGGTACAGATTCCTACCGCTGCCAGCCCTGCCTAAACCGCCTTTTCCCCTAACCTGGGTCAAAAGTCCTCCCAAGTCCAGGTGTCCTTGCCCACTTCATTCCCAAGTGTCGGGGTAACTAGAACAGTCCCCTCCATCTGTTCTCCCTCTTTCTTGACCAGGGCTGGGAACTAGATGCAGTGTGGGAAGAGATGGGGAAAGTGGGGACTTGCCTGGGCCACCCTCGAATTGTGTACCAGCCACCTGGTCTCCATCCTTAAATCCCCCCTCTCCCAACACCTCTTCTCCTGGGGAGCAGGCCACCTCAGCTGCTACAACCTCCTACCTCCCCCGGGAGCACCCCAAATCCTAATCTCACCTGGCTCATTCCCTCAGGTGATCTGAATCAGGCCCCAGCCCTCTGACAACTCCCAACAGTTTCCATTCCATATAACAAACCCCCAATTTAACAGTTCCCTCAAATGAGCGCACCCCTAAATGTATCTGCCACCAGACCAGACGCTTGTTCCATAGCCTGAAGGCCCACCCCTTCCCTGCCAGCTGACACCCCCAGACCAGTCAGGCACTTACAACCAATAACCTTTACCCCCATCCCAGAAGCCCCCCGAAATTGGACAAGGGACCTGTAAGCCAGCTCCCCCTCCACTAGAGGGGAAGAGGACCCTCCCACGTAGCCCACCTTCCCACATACAAGAGCAGGAGTCCCATGTGAGCCAGGCTTCTCCTTAAATAAGTCTCCCTCAAACATCGCTGATGAACCCCAAAACCCACCAGGCCCCCAAACCATGGAATACTCCGAATTTTCCATTTCTCCCCAGGTACAAAGGGATCACTCTAGGGGGCACCTGTGGCCAAATCCAGCATTTTCTCAGGTGTGAACCCCCAAACTAAATTATGACCCCCAAACGCATCTTACTTCTGATGTTCCCCCTCCAGGGCCCCAGCCCTCTGTACGGCCTGCCTAACCCCCACACAGACTCTACCCTGGCCCCACTGTGTGGCCCCTCCGTCATGCTTACCTTGGTTGTCACTATACAGAGACAGTCCATGTTGGGGGGCCTGGCCGCGGCAGCGGGTAAGGGGCTCTGACTTCATCGGAGTTTCGTTCCTCCCCTCTGTGGGTTCTCACCCCTCCCCCCTCCGCACCCCACTTTTGCAGGGGGGGCCAGGATGGGGGGAGGGGTGAGAGGGGAAGGAGGGGGTTGGAGAAGGGAAGGGTAGGGGAGCTTGGGAGGGAGAGAAAGGGGGCCCTAAAAGGGGCTCCCCAATGGAGGGGAGGGGGCTTGGGGAGCACACCCCGATTCTCAGGAGGGGCGGGGGC